CAGGCAGTACTGCTCTCTGCCAGCCCCCCTCCGACCCAGCCTTGCCCACGCCGTTCGGAAAAGGAGCAGCTAAAAACTTCCCTCAGCCCCCGGCACACCGGGGAGGCGGAGGGGACAGACGGTGCCAGGGCAGCCTGACCCTGGGAAAGCGAGGGGGCACAAGATGCCCCCTGGGCTCCTCTCCCCAGCCCCGGTCCCGGCTCACCGCATTCCTCCTTGGGCTCATCGGACCCGTCCCCGCAGTCGTCCTCCCCGTCGCACTTCCAGCGCGCTGGGATGCACCTGCCCGAGTCCTTGCATCGGAACTCGTCCACACCACACGTCATTTGCGCTGGCGAGGAGAAACAAGATGACATGGGTACGGGGAGGGGCGGTGGGGTGAGCACTGGCCAGGCACATTTCGTTCTCCGCAGGGCTGACGAACACCTTGTGCCAGCAGCCTGGAGCTGACTGCCGCACCCCTGCTTGGAGCAGGGAGGGGAAAATCCCCCCCTTTCAAGCAGTTCTCCAGGAAGAAGTCGGAGAGAGGAGTATCTCAGCAGGACAGATCAAGGCAGAGCCACCACCACCACCACACCCATGTAGCGGGGACCGAGCAGGGACCGAGCATCCCGCAGGCAAAGCCACACAGACATGACTGGCTGCAGGGGAGCTCCCAGTTTGAGCGTGGCCAGACCCACCGGCCCTCCCCGTGCTCCCTTCTTACTGCAGTTGGCAGGTTCATCCGAGCCATCCACGCAGTCGTTGTCCCGGTCGCACACCCAGACGCGGGGGATGCAGCGCTTGGTGATTGCGCACTGGAACTGGTTTGGGGCACAAGTCACCTCCGCTGCGGGAGGAAGAAGCAGTCAGGGGAGGCAGTGGGGCAGGCAGGGGTCTGCCAGCCACCACCCCAAAAACCCACCCCACAGAGCGGAGAGGCATGCAGATGCTCTGGGCTTCACAGTAAGTGTCTGGCTGTGCTTGGCGACCACGTGTGTGAGAGGGGAGGGGGGCAGAGCCCTGTGGTGCCCAGAAGACTCGACCAGCTGCAGGGAGACGGGGCAGAAGCCACCAGATCCCTCAGCTGTGCAATAGGCTCAGTGCAAATCCACGGCAAATATCGAACGTGCCAATCTGAGGGATTTAAGGATTTCGTTTCCACCAGGAAACCGTGTGTCTGCAGGGCCAGCAGGGTGACGGGGGACAGAGGCTCTCCGCAGAGCAGAGGTAAAGAGAAAGCCCCATGCCCAGGGGCAGGACCACCCAGAAGCCAGCCTGCGGAGAAGCCACTACCCAAAGACACGGATCTGGTGCAGCACTGAACTCCTCCACTCCTAACCATGCGTGTTCCCCATCCCTAACATGCTTAACAGCTCCCCACTTACGGCAGTCCTTCTCATCCTCGCCATCGCCGCAGTTGTCCTGACCGTTGCAGCGGAAAATGCCAGGGATGCAGCGGTTGGTGTTGGTGCATTTGAACTGGCTGGGCAGACAGACGTGGATATCTGGGAAGGGAGGCAGCATGGTCAAAGGCTGACGTGCTGCGCCTCTGCTCTACTGGGATGCTGCAGCCCTGCTGGGGTTTGAGGCTCACAAAGGGGAGGTGGAGAACCCACCACAGTTGGCTTCATCCGAGTTGTCCTGGCAGTCGTTGTCTCCGTCACAGATGAAGGCTGGGTTGGTGCAGATCCCAGTGGAGCACTGGAACTGCCCCGGCCTGCATTTGAACTCGGCTGCGGGGCGAGTAAGACAGGGTGGAACATTTGCTCTGGGGGACATTTTCAGGGCAAACCTCAACCTCCCGCTTTCCCCTCGGGGATCCTCAGCAGGGACTGAGCAACCAGCACCCAGTCCTGGGCTCTGGCACAATGAAGGGGCAGCTCTGCCCCGAGAGCAGCAGTTGGCTGTCGTCCTCCACGGGGCAATACCCCACGCAGGGACAGCGTGTTATCCCGCCGTTCCCTAAGCCCCGTTAACGGGGTAACCCTCCTCTCTGCCGGAGCTGAGCAGGGAGCAGCGGCGCTGTCCTGAAGCCAGAGCAGCAGCAGGGCTGCACAAGCAGCGCCGGGCTGCTCCGGAGAGCGCAGAGATGCTGTAGGGGTGGCAAGAGCCGGGCAGCATGGCTGGGGTGCTAGGACACTGTGGGCTGTGGTCAGCCCCACTGGGCACTCACGGCAGTCCTCGGGCTCATCCGAACGGTCCCCGCAGTCGTCCTCGGTGTCGCATTTCCACCAGAAAGGGATGCACTTGTCATTCTTGCAGACAAACTGCAACGGAGAGACAATCTCGTGAGGGCAGCTCGGAATGGGGAGGGAGGACCCCAGAAGGCATTGACCCCAGGGAAGTCTGCCAAGGGCACCGATCTCCGTGCTGTCCCTTCCCAGGCACCCCGAGGACACTCTGTGTCCTGACTTGGAGCAAAGCCTTAACCCTCAGCCCACCCCACATAGCCTCGGGCGTTTGAGGGAGGGAGGGAGGGGGGCAGGCAGAAGGTCATTCCAGAGCCAGAGGGTTTCTGGCTCCGCTGGGCACCCCCAAATGATGGCGTCTGCATGTGCTGGGAGGTGCCACAGGAGAGGGTGTTGCCCCCCCCAGAGAAGGTGCGCACGCCAGCACCCAGATGCACAGTGCGGGCACCAGCACAAGCGGAGGAGCCGCGACCTCCCGAAACCGTGGCAGGAGGGACACGCACAGGAGCACGGATGCTCGCTGCAGGGGGGATGTCCACCCTGCAGGGGGGATGTCCACCCAGGCAGACGCAGGCAGGCTGTTACCTGGCTGGCCGTGCAGTTGGAGACGCAGGGTTTGCCATCGCTGCCCAAGTAGAAGTTGGTGGGACAAGCACACTTGTGCCCCCCGCCTGGCGAGAGGAGGCAGAGGTTGCTGCAGCCAGCATTGTTGGTCTTGCAGGGATGGTTGGGAACTGGGGAGAGCACGGAGACAACCGCGAGTCAGACCAAGGCGGGGGCCCTTCAGGGTGGCACGTGAACCCCCAGCTGCAAGACCCTTCTCACCACGCCCCCCTCTCCCGCACCCCCTGCCCAACCTGGAGTCCCTTGGCACATCGTGCCCAGTCCCGGCCTCCTGCCAAGGGCTGCTCCGCCAGGCCCCCCTCAGCTCCGGCCCCACAGCTCACCGTCAGGCTGGCGGTAGGGGTGGTAGATGTGGATGTCCATGGGACGGTGCAGCGTGCTGATCAGCAGGGTCTTGTTGGCTCCCGTAGTCTTGTGGGCTCGGTTGATGGATTTGGTCTCCCAGTCGGTCCAGTAAATGAAATCCTCAAAGAGGGTGAGCGCAAAGATGTGCGGGATGTCCTGGCTTAGCACTGCAAGGGGGAGCAGGCAGCTCAGCCGGGGGCTGCCCCACACCACCCCTCCCGCAGCGCAGCCTTTCTCCAGGGACAGCTCAGCCAGGGAAGAAACCTCTTCCCCCGGACAGAGGCACAGAGGAGCTGCTGGAGCTGGGGACCGTACCCAGCAGCCCTGGCTCCTGCTCCCACGACTGATCCAAAGCCCACACCCCACAAAGGCCTGGCGGCACCCTGGGAGCCCCGGCACTCTCACCCGTGTGCCGGTTAGAGCCATCCAGGCTGGCAAACTCGATGTAGTCCTCCCGTGCGTCAGCCCAGTAGATCCGGCTGTTGATGTAGTCGAGGGTGAGGCCATTGGGCCAAGTTATCTTGGTGTCAACGATGACGCTGCGGTTGGTGCCATCCATGCCGATCTTCCCAATCAGGGAGTGGTCCCCCCAGTCTGTCCAGTATAGGTAACTGGGGATGGAACAGAAGAGCAGAGGGAGGCTGAGTCCAGCCCAAGCCACAGCAGTGGCCGCACTCTGCCTGTCGCACGGCCAAATCGAGGTGCCTGGGCACGTGGGCGCAGGGCAGGGAGAAGCAGCCAGGTGTCCCGGCGGCAAGGACAGAGGGCCTCGTCCCATCTCCCGACCTCCAGGACTATGGCAAGATGGCAGAGGGGCCACCAGCCCCCTCCCTGTGTAGAAGGGAAGGTCTAGGTCTCCCAGGCTCTCACCCATTCTGCACATCCACCACCAGTGCCCGGGGCTCGCGCAGGCCTGAGTTCACCAGCACGGTGCGGTAGGCACCGTTGAGCTTCGACACTTCAATGGTGTCCCGACCTTTGTCGCACCAGTACAGGTTGCCTCCCACCCAGTCCACAGCCAGCCCGTCGGGGTTGCTGAGGCCAGTGCGGTGAAGAACCTGTTGGGAGAAAGCAGAGATGCTGGGGCTGGTCGGGGAGAAGCAGATCCTGCCCTGGTCCCTCAGGGACGACAACATCCTCCTTCCCCCGCACATCGCCCCTGCAGACGGTCCCACCCAGCTCCCTCTCTTCCCCTGATCCTCCTTGCCCACTGCTCTGGGGCAGCACCGAGCCCACCTCTGATGGGGATGGTGCTGCAAAACAGCCCCGGAGCAACCTGGGCTGATGCCCCGAGCCCAACGATGACCCCACCGCAGGGCTTGTACCCTCTTCCCCAGTGTCCCTGGTGCCAGCCCAGGCCCCTCCGGGCAGCCCCTCTGCGCAGGAGCTGGGCGAGGACCAGCTGCCTCAGTCCCCCCACCTGAACATTGCTCCCGTTGATGTGCATGCGGCGGATCATGCTGCCCTGCGTGGTGACATCCGTCCAGTAGATCATCTGCTCCCGATAGTCGAAATCCAGAGCCACAGCGTTGTTCAGCCCCTGGGAGGAAGGGAGAAGCATTGAAACAGCCTCATCTGCTAGCACAGGGTCACGGGGGCTTAACAAAGACCGGTGAGCCCCCAGGCTCAACTCCCAGTCCCTGCAGCAGAGGAGTTAAAAGCACCTACAGACAACTGTTGTGCAGCCCCTACCTTAGAAAGCTGCCACCTAAGAGCTACTGTTTATGTGGGACCTCCTGCGTATTTATAGTGAGCACTGTTGTTTCTATAGGGTCTACCATCTGCCTGGGAAGCCAAGAGCCCGAACGCCCAGCCTGGCAGGCCTCGTGCCCGGTAGGGCCCCTCTCCAACCCCAAACCCCCGGCCACGTGGGGCTGGTACCCCCTCCGGCTCCCAGCTCCCCTTGCACCTGCTTGAGCAGCGTGTAGTTGGAGCCATCCAGGTTGAGCTTCCTCAGGTAGTACCGGTTGGCAAAGATGAGGAAGGGCTCTTCATCTGCACAGGGAAACCACAAGATGTGTCAGGGAAGTGCTGTGGGATGTGGGCAGATCCCATGCAGACCTGCTGCCCTCCCTGCCCCACTGCTCCCCAGCTCTCCTTCACGAGTCAGGTGCAGCTGCTTCGCCTTGCGGAGCACCGTGACTGGCTCCAGCGCCAGCAGCATCACGCGGTCACCAGAAGAGCATCTCTGCCTCCGAGTCTGCTCTTGGCTCTCACCTGTGACAGCTTTACAGCTGGTGGGGTTGTCAGGTTTGAGCTTGTAGCCCTCTATGCACAGGCACTTGTAGCTCCCCAGAGTGTTGATGCACTTCTGGCTGCAGGGGTAAGTGGTGGAGCACTCGTCGATGTCAATGCACGTCTTCCCGTCGTCCTTCAGCCGGAACCCGGGACGGCATCTACACTGCAGGAGGCAACCCAGAGCTGTTAGACACATCCAGGGCCCGCGCGCTGGGACGTGACAGGCATCACCACGGGACCAGCGGGCTCCGGCACGGACAGCTTGCAGACCCAAGAGCAGCACACCCGCGCCTGGGACAGAA